AGGTGGAACCTCAACGTGGTTTTTTTTTTGCATTTCCCTGATAGCTAGGGAGCTTGAATGCTCCACTTCTGATCCAGCTCCCTGCCAAGTCTTGGGAAATCAGTGAAGACAGCCCCAGTGCTTGGGTCTCTACCATTCATTTGGAAGATCCAGATGAAACTACTAGCTCCTGGCTTCAATGTGGTCTGGCCACTGCAGCCACTGGGGAGTGAAACAGAGAATGGAAGATCTTTCTTTCTGTCTCTGCTTCTGCCCCTCTGTAACTCTGCCTTTCAAATAAATAAATTTTTTTAAAAAATAAAATAGCTGGAGCCCGGCACGATAGCATAGTGGTTAAAGTTCTTGCCTTGCACGCAATGGGATCCCAAATGGTCGCCGGTTCTAATTCCAACGGTCCTGCTTCCCATCCAGCTCCTTGCTTGTGGCCTGGGAAAGCAGTGGAGGACGGCCCAAAGCCTTGGCACCCGAGTGGGAGACCTGGAAGAAGTTCCTGGCTCTTGGCTTTGGATTCGCTCAGCTCTAGCCGTTGCACTCACTTGGGAAGTGAATCATTGGACGGAAGATCTTCCTCTCTGTCTCTCCTCCTCTCTGTATAGCTGGCTTTCCAATAAAAATAAATAAATCTTTAAAAAAACAGAATAGCTGAATATTTTCAGAATAATATTTTCTCCTAACCTTATTTTAAATTTTCCATTGGTTATGAGCCCCATTAGCATTTTGTTTGTGAATATACGTTACGAGGTAAGAACTTCCTAAATGCATGTGAATGAATGTATGAATAAATGAATGATACACCATTCTATAACCTAAAGTGTCCCTTATTCTATAAACAGAACAAGGAGCCAACCCTCAAGCCCATTGGAATTGGTCCCCTATTCCTGGCCACATGTGGTCACTGAAGTTTATATCCATAACCACTTAAACAGAACCTGGTTTGGGAGCTAACAAATAAAGAAACATACCCAGGAAGTGTCTGTTTGAGCCTCAGGGGTTTAAAACTGAGGCAACAAGGCCACTGTTGAAAAGGGAGCATTCCTGGAGCCTCCCTCCCCTTTGAATTGCCTGGCAGAGTGGCACCTGGCAAACAGTGCTCTGTTGCTGCTCTCCAGCCTGGCCAGCCTGGCCCTCCCCACAAGGAACAGAAAGCTGCCTGAGAGCTTGCTGCCAGGGAGCATCTGTTGAGCTGGCATTGCCTCCTATGGGAACAAAGCCAAGGAGCCTGGGAGGGGAGAAAAGGAATGTATTTGGAAAGGAAAATAAAAGGTTGAGAGGTGTGGGGCTTTGTTATATTAAAGACTTAACAGGCCTTTAATTTCTACAGAAATGCACAGGGGAACTGACTGGGGACATGTCTGAAAGCCTCGAGCTGGCCAGTGCTGCAAACACTGCTCTACAGAAGGCATGAGGCACTTGGGCGTGATGCTCGCTGCACCTGCTCCATCTGCCAATCCTCTTCCTCACTGTCTGTACGTCCCCTGAAGAAGACCAGACACAGATTCCTCCCGTATTTTTCAAGGACTGTCAAGCAGATGAATTTTAATGTGGGATTTCAAGGTCTACTTTTCTACTTGGAGGGAAATGGAGAGGAATAGTCTGCCAAGCTTTATGTTCAAAAGCTGTCAAGCAACATTTTCATAATCCACAAATTTTGGCTGCAGAGGCTGTTCTCAACACAGGCAAGACACAGGTTCACTCTTTACACAAGCACAGTTTCTGTACCACACCAATTTTCCCAAGTTTGCTCATCTGAATCTTTACCTCATCTTCACTGACCTGTGAGATACATTACAGTATAGAACCTGTTATTTGACTTCTATTCCCAGAGCCTGGCACAATGCCTGGGAGGCACAGTAATTCAACAAATTTCTGGTGAGTGATTGCTTGCATGCATATACCAGACTAGCAAAGGAAAAAAATATCTGGCTTCAGTGAGCAAGTGGGCTGGTAAACAATGCTTTTTATGATATCATTAACTAGATGGTATCTCTGCAACCTTCTATAAACACTACCTTTTATGACATTTATCACATTAAGCATCCTATTATGGTTTTTCAGCATACCTTGTCTCTCCCTATACATTTCTTGGAGGCAGGAATCAGGTGCTTTTCAAATTTTTATCTATCCCCTCTCCCAATCAATAAATGACTGAATATCTAAATGAACGAAAGCTTATTGGCAAAACCTTATTAAAAGGACAGGTCTTTGAAAACCTTCCAATGCAAGCACCCCCCAAAAAAATTTTTTTTTAAAGAAAGTTCAGTGTCCAGAAAAACACTTGCAGAAATTTATGTTGGCACATAAATTGAGAAGACAATACCAAGTGCTTGGGAACACAAACAGATCTGAGGCAGATGCAGGGTGCAGACATTGTGAACTCAACAATGCGAAGGCCTGACCTAGCCCAGGACACAGCAGATAGGGGATCACAGGTGGGCTTACAGAACAATGTGCCATTGGCCAAAACCTGTGGATGAGTCACAGTGCAAATCAATCATGTCTGTAAAAGAAAAGTATACCTTGAAATCCCACGTGAAAATTCATGTCTGTAAAAGCTGATATGAATCAATTCTGCAAGGCCAGAGTTTTACATAAGAAACACACTAGAAGAAAATCCTGCTATGCACAGCTCTGCATGGGGGAAGACACTGAGAAAAGGCTGACAGTGGATGGAGAGAAGCCTTGTTTCCAGCGCAGGGTTTCTCTGTGCTGCAGGGTTCCCCTGTAATGAACCAATTAGGGCCATAGCTCTGCTTCCTGTGGCAGTTTGCTCTGTGGCAGAGAATGAGGTCACAGCCCTAACCACACAGAGCTAAGAAGCATCTGGGTGATGAAGAACAGCTTCAGGCACACTTGAATCATTCCCAGGGGGTAACGGGATGCATGTGTGGTATTCTCAGCCTCTGAAGGAATAGTTCCTGGGGGAATTGAAGTGTATTTTGACATTAGCTTTTAAGTCCCTATTTATATTCCTGCCATGTGACTCTGACAAAAGAGACTGAATACTACTGGATCTATTAAACAGCCCTAGAGGCTGGAATAGGTCAAAAGGGGCTCCATTGACTCTGAAATAACCAATCATACCACTGTTCATTAGTACTCAATGTAATTCTGCATCTGAAAGGAATTGCTTAATATGATTTACTATGTTTGTGAAAGAAAAACTGTAAGGGCCCACTCAGACTTAACATACTGCTGCTACAATTACTTAGGAGAGGTCAATTTTGTAGAGAAACCCAAAGCACTCATTGGCTAGGCAAACTGTCAGTGGAAGGAAGAGACACACATTAGCCTGTGCAGGGAGCAACAGAGAGGGAAGAAGCACGGCTGTGTGACCCCAGAGCAGAATTAATGATAAGGCCAGGCATCTTGAGTCAGCCTTCCCATTCCCCTTCTCCCTTGTTTTACAAGAATCAGAGGTCACAACATTTATGGAAGCATCAAAGCATGAAAAAGAGAGTCAAGTCTCCTGAGTGTTGTGACTCTTCTAGCTGGAGAGTCTAAGTGAAAGCAAAGACTCGGACTGGCTCCGCCTGGTTGCTTGCTCCTAACTAGACCAAGGGACCCAGTACCTGGGGGCTGGGTTAAAAGGATCAAGGTAATGGGGCATAAGAAGACCAAAACAGCTTCCGCCACAAGTGGTGGGTAAAGCAGACTTAGGCTAAGGAACAGGGGAGGTTCTTTTAGAAGCCAGCAGTACTGGAAGCACTCAAAGAGGTCAGCTCTTGGCTGGCTGCTGTTTCCAACCCGACTGCAGCTCTTTGTTAACAATCCTCTTAACATGTGTTCAGGCAGGGCCGGTGCAAAGATGAGGAGCCCTGCAGTGATGGCAGGATGTGAGGCTGGGTCACCCTCCAGCCAAAGGAAAATTCCCACTCAGTTGGTCAGACTGGGGCAGCATCTGTGCAGTTTTCCTCCACGTCACCAATGAGCCCCGGGGCACAGGACTCAGGACTGGGGAAGGTTCTGCGGCAGGTCAGGCCACATCGCTTCCTAATTAGAAACAGCAACCGAGGAAAGCGCCTGCAGTGCAGTTGTAGGAAGAAAATCTTCTACATACATTCACAGGAATCCTCATCTCTGTGGAAAAGGCCGGAATTGGGGATGGAAGGGGCGTGGAGAATCAAAGGCACTCCAGTCTTGCTGCAGTGGCCCATACTTCACAAGAAACTAAAGGCGATTTTAATGCAACCTCAATGTAAGAATCATAAAGGGAAGAAACGGAGAGATGAACGGAAAGAGAGCAGACAGGCAGCCTAATAATGGAGGTCCTCCAGCATGCTGGGCCAACGCCAAGCCCAAGGGAAGGGGCTCTAAAGCATTAGAGGCCATAGGCTACAAACAGGAATTGCCTGGGTCACGAGAGAACCAAGTGGAATAAATGACAAGAAGAGGGAAAAGGAGTGGTGGAGGAAATAACCCCTAGTCCAGGGGAGTCCACCTTGCCCCTCCAGTAGAGGAGAGCGCAAACACTGTTTCCCCTGCCTCGGACCCAGAACCCACGTCCCCTCTGGGGAGCTGCCCTCAGTCAACCTGGCCCTGTATTTTGGAGGGGACACATCCCGTGGTCCTGCCTCTCTCAAACTTTCTACCAATGCCATGCATGCCACCCCACCCTCTGTGACTCCTGAAATACAATCAGCACTTTCAACAAACACTCCTGGGGCTCCCCTGAGAATTTTGTACGGGCTTTTCCCAGGTGAGAGCAGAGATAGTCTCTTCTTCCAGGTCCTGTCCTCTGGGCTCAGGTAAGGAAGCTTCCAGAGGTCACCATCACCGGCCCAGTGAAGCAGGAGGCGGGCGGCCCTTTTGGTTTCACCAGTCAGCACTGCACCCACCACTCTAGCGTCCTAAGGGCTCTGCGGGTGATTTGCCCGGGGGTCGGGGTGGGAGGGTCCCCAGAGAGGTTGGGGTCCTAGGGCTCCAGGAGGACTCCTTCTGGAAATTAGGCGGGAGACGCTGGGAGAGGGGAGCTGGGGAAGTGGGAGGGGCGGGACATTTACCTCATTGAAGCCCTCCTGCAGGACGTCCAGTAAGTTCCCCCGAGCCAGGCAGGCTAGCATTGTTCCAGCCCGGAACTGCCCGGGCGGGGTCTCCAGCCAGGTGGTCGCGGCCGCCTCCTCCTCCTTTGCACACAAAGGCTCCCAGCTCAGTTCTTGGGGATCTCTCCCGAGTCCCGCATGCCACTTACTGGAAACCTAGACCAGAGCCTAGCAAACTAGCAGCTTGCACTGGGCATGCTCGCACAGGGGCCTCTGCTGGAAGGGTCCGGCGCCGTCGTGGTTCCTATAGAAACAGCTGGGCGTGCATAGGGAGGAGAGCTGGCGAGCTGCCCAAGGCCTGCTGCGTGTGTGCGGGAGAGCTCTGCGGGCGCGCGAGCGAGCAGGCGGGCTGGCGGGCGCGCGCTGCACACACAAGCATGCGCACCCTCTGCTCGGCGGGACCAGCCTGCGAGTGTGCTACACACACCGAGCCTGTTACACAGGCGTGCTGGCCTGCGTATGCGTGCTGCTTGCACACACACACACGCATACACACATCCTTGGGCACACAGGCAGCCTGCCGGCGCGTGCGTGCCCCTGCAATCACAATCTCACACATACACACCAGGCTAGCGGGTTGGAGCCTTCCTCCCTCACCAAGCCTCTCCTCCCTTCTGATTTAAAGTCACAAGCACCCACCACAAGGTGGGTGGAAACAGAGTGAATCATAGGTGTTTTTCACCCAAACCGAAAACAGCAACCTTTTCCCACATGAGGCCTAGACAGTGAAGTCACACTAACATAAGAGGAAGCAGAAAGGGAAGAAACAAAAAGAGAAAGAGAAGACAGGTGTGGAAGAAGAGGGCTATGAGAATGGTAATCATGATACTGGGTATTGCAACATGTTTTATGGAACAGAGATTAAGAAATCACACAGTCACAACAGAGACATACAGTGTGTTAAACTGAGGATGACCAAGCAGGCGCTGGGCGGTAGCTGCAGCCTGCATGCTGTTGGTTCAACTGTGGCTAAAACTGGAGAAAGGCAAACTGATCCGGATCAGACCACAAGTCAAAGACTGCCACCATTCAAAACCTAGGTGAGGAGGTTAACTGCTCCTGCCACTACCACAGCTCATGCTGTGATAGTCTCAGCAGACTCACTAACTTATACTCACCGCAAAGGTTCTTTATAAGAAGTATGGGAGTAGACATTTGGCCTCATGGTTAAGATGACCATAAGCTACACTAGAGTACTTTCGCCAGCACATGCCTGCAGACTCTGATTCCAGCTTCTGGGTAATGCAAATCCTGGGAGGTCGCGGTGACAGCTCAAATGATTGAGTCCTTGCCACCCTCATGGAAAACCTGGATCGAGATCCTGGCTGCTGGACTTTGACCTAGCTCAATCCCAACCACTGCCAAGCACATGGGAGCTCTCTCTGTCTTCTCATTGTGTCTCTCTACCTCTTGAATAAATAATTTAAAAAATAATAATTAATAATGCATTCTAAAAAGAGAATGAAAATACCAACAGTACAGAAACCATAACACCCAGTTGGTAGATGGATGAAGAATGGTGATTGATTGAACCCCCCCCCCAATGGAATGGCTCCAGCATAAAATATTAAGACATCACAGGGAGGTTTTGCTTAACAGTTATGTATGCTGAGAGGTCACTATTTCTCAACCAAAAAGACTTTGATCAGGGTAGGATCTCTGAGCTCAATGTTTCTAGAAAAAAAGTTAAAATACTGAATTTTAAAACTCAAAAAAACCCAAAAATTCACGTGACCCAACTCCCATACTTCATGTAAGTCAAGCCTAGGGCCCAGCACCGCAGCCTAGCAGCTAAAGTCCTCACCTAGCAAGCACTGGGATCCCAAATGGGCACTGTTGTATCCCAGCAACCCTGCTTCCCATCCTGCTCCCTGCTTGTGGATTGGGAAGGCAGCAGAGGACAGACCAAAGCTTTGCGACCCAGCACCCACATGGGAGACCTGGAAGCAGCTCCTAGCTCCTGGCTTCGGATTGGTTCAGCTCCAGCTGTTGCGATCACTTGGGGAGTGAATCATCAGATGGGAGATCTTCCTCTCTGTCTCTCCTCCTCTCTGTATATCTGACTTCCCAATAAAAATAAGTAAATCTTTAAAAAAAGAAAAAAGAAGTCAAGGCTCGAAGAAGTGTTCACAGCCATTCAACAAGTCAATATGGGAGCTAAGATTTAAACCAAATCTTTTAATGTCCAGCCAGTTCTCTTCTCTTTGCACAGCCCCTACAGCATGCTAGAGAAACAGAACTGTGGTGACTTCATGAAAGATTAGTTATATGACAAACGGTCCAAGATTGTTATGCTCTCTGAAATTCTGTGACCACACCAACTACATGTTCTAGGGCAATGGTGTCCACTCAACCTTTTGTGACTTTGCTATCCAATATAGTTAGTCATATTTGACTGTTTAGGACTTGAAATTAAGCCAATATTACTAAAGTTTTAATAGCATTTGATTTCAATTCATTTCAGAGTAGAAACTACAGTTTCAGTTGTGTTTCATTGCCACACACAACTGAGATGTTGCAATATTATAATATTTCACATACGGGATGCTTCTCACAAAATTCCTTTTGGAACACCTGATGTTAATTTTTTTGCTCAGAAGAAATCTTCTCCATAGTGACAGGGGTCTGATTTAGGAAGTGGCCTAGCTAAAGAGCTGAACTTTAGCTCTGCGCAACACTAACATTTTCTTTCTGTTTTATCCTCTCTATCCCACCATTCTGTGATAGCACCCTAAGAGCTGGAATGGTAAGTGGGTTAGCTAAAACAACAAGGACTAACCAGGACTATCATCAGCTGCCTGTATGTGAGGAGACTGAGCGTCTGGGTAGCTGGAACCACTCCCACTGTTGCATGCCTGTCATTCTCTCTGTCCAGCATAAGCCAAGAATCACACTCAAATGCTGTATGCACACTGCTGTCCTGCTACCTGACTGCTGAACTTATTCCTCAATCCTGTGTTATTTTGGTGATAAAGATGGACATTTTCCCTACAAACTAGAAGCTACCCAAATTGCCTATGTACAATAGTGATAATAGCAAAACTCAGCTTCTTATGAAGCTCTGCATGAAGCACTTACACACATTAGCTCACTGGATGGTCACAATTGCCAATAATGGGTTATTCACACATTAAGAGAGATTTGGAGGGAAAAGATCATTGGTCACACACCCAAGAGCTTCTAAGGGAAGCTAGAGTCTTGATTCTTCAACATTATTCAGTACTTTTATATGATGCTTAAAACACAGAAGGTACCCAGTACATTTTATAGATTTTAATGAAATTAATAAGCCAACAGAGGAAACACCAGCAAACTCATTCATCACCTCTGCTAATAAGCAGTAGTATGTTAACCTAAGTAAGATTGTGAGCTTCAAACAAAACTTCATTTGGTGAAACAGTGCCTGGTACTTTTCTCTATGTGTAAAACTAAGATATATGAAATTTATGTCTGTGAAAATTTTAACATTTATTATGCACATTTATCACTATAAAAAGTGGAAAGTTCGACTTAACACATAGTTTAAAAAATCATCAACAAAAATAGTTTAGGGGCCAGGCTCTGTGGCTCAACAGGTTAGTCTTCCATCCTGTAGCTCTAGCATTCCATATGAGTGCCAATTGGTGTCTTGGCTGCTCACCTCTGAGCCAGCTCTGTGTTAACGCCCTGGAAAAACAGTGGAGGATGGCACAAGTACTTAGGCCCCAGAACCTTGTGGAAGACCGAAAAAAAGCTCCAGACTCCTAGTTACTGCCTAGCACAGCCATAGCCACTGTTGCCATCTGGGGAGAGAATCAGCAGATGGAAGAACTTCTTTCTTTGTCTCTGTCTCTCCTTCTGTCTGTAAATCTGCTTTCAAATTAAAAAAATAATAATAATAACAAGTTTTTCAAAAGAACAAAATGAGGCCCAGTGTGGTAGCCTAGCGGCTAAAGTCCTTTCCTTGCATACATGCCGGGATCCCATATGGGCATCGGTTCATACACCGGCAGCCCTGCTTCCCATCCAGCTCCCTGCTTGTGGCCTGGAGGACAGAAAGCAGTGGAGGACAAACCAAAGCCTTGGGACCCTGCACCTGTGTGGGAGACCTGGAAGAGTTTCCTGGCTTGTGGTTTCAGATCAGCTCAGCTCTGGCCATTGCAGTCACTTGGGGAGTGAATCAGAAGACAGAAGATTTTCCTCTCTGTCTCTTCTTTTTGGATACCTGACTTTCCAATAAAAATAAATACATTTTTAAAAGACCAAAACAGCAAATAGCTTAAATGCCTCTAAAACAATTTCTTGATCTTGTATTTTTCTCACACTAGCTTAGTTCCTTGAAGATAATGTTTCCAACACCCATCACATTTACCTCTAGCAATATCAGCACAAACATCCACCAAAGGGCTGACAACCTACTAGCAAAGGAGCCAACATGTCCTCATGTCCTGGCTCCTAATCTATTCTCCTTGTCCCCACCCTTTTCCACCTGTCAGAATAGCCTCATCTCAATCTTTCTTAGACAACACATTCATCTTACTGCTCCATTGCTCAAACATCTTCCAAACTCTCCCCTTCCATAGCATGTCAGAGATACCTTCTAGTGTGCAGTTCTCATATCTCAAATCACTTCTGTTCGTACTGGAAGGCTTTCCACCTTCTCACAGACCTATACAGCCAACTCTGTCCAGAAAGTCCAACATTCCACCCCTGTGCTACCAAGATCTTCATTCACTCTGCCTGGTTCAATTTCCGGTTCCTAGGACCAGTGCTGCGGCATAGTGGGTAGAGTTGTTGTTTGTGATGCCCTCCCATGCGTGTGGGTACAAGTCCCAGGCACTTCACTTCCAATCCTGTTCCCTGTTATTGCCCCTGAAAAAAATAACAGAATGCATCCCATGTGCTTGGGCCTCTGAACCCATGTGGGAGACCCTAATGAAACTCCAGACCCCCGGTTTCTGCCTGGCACAGCCCCACTCACTGGCCATTTGGGGAGTGGATGGAAGCTCTCTCTCTCCCCCTCACTCTTTCACTCTGTCTCTCCCCTCTCTGTGTAACTCTGTTTTTCAAATAAGTAAATAAATCTTCTAAAAAATTCCCACTTCCTCAATGAAATTCCTCTGACCACACTCCATTTTGATCTCTCAATCTCCCTAACAACCCACATGTCATTTCTGCTTCTCCTTCAGGTCTCTATTCAAATGTCACTTTCTGACATTTGTTTGACTTTCTCTTACTCTCCACTTAAAAAGACAACACCTCTTCACATTGGCACTCCCAGTTCTCTCTGCCTGATTGTTTTTCTCTATAATATTTTTCACTATCTTATATATTTTATATTTACTTGTTTATTATCAGTATTCCCTTGTCCACATTCCATGCAGGCAGAGAATGCTGTTTGTTTTATACTGATTTATCCCTAGAACCAAGAATACTGCTCAATAAATGCTGGCTGGATGAATCAATCTCTCACTACAATCAAATGTCTACAATCAAATGTCTACATGTCTATAAATGCTCGACATCACTTAGCACATAATTACAGATAACTTAGGATTGTGAATCTTTGTCTTTTTGTTGTATTCTCAAACTAAATTTTTGGTGTCC